AACCCTAACGTAATTGAAATTAGTAGATCTAGGGTTACATACATTTGAATTGTTGTAGTAACCAATTCCTTGAATCCCTTCCTTTATAGATCTTAGAAAGCTAGCACCAAAAGTATTATGCCTATAATGACTCACACCTAAAACTAGACCCTAAAATGAAGAGCAGAGAGAGGAGAGAATTTTCGACCAGAGTAACCCTTTTGGAAAAGCATGAATGAAAATTATAAGCCTTGGGGTCCTATTTATAGTGTGTATGACATAAGGAAAACCCTAGATTTGAATAATAAAATAATATTATTTTATCTATTCAAATATGGTATCCTTATCAGCTTTAGGAAATATTCCAGAAACCCTGGAATACTTCCAAAATCCGTCCACCCCTATTAGGGCTCTGAAATTTTCTTTCCTTGCTCAATTAAGAACAATTACAATTCAACCCTTGGACCTTTAATTAATTCCAATTAACACCGAATTAATTCTTGATTAATTCTAATTAATAATTAATTAATTCTTGTTTATTTCATATGAATTTATTAATCATATAAATTAACAAATCAATTATTTAACTATTGCTCTCACATTAATTTATTAATCACATAATAAATTAACACATCAATTATCTATATTAATCATATAATATATTAACAAATCATTTCTCTTTCTTTCTCCTGATATCATTCCTAGCCTATTTCTGGTTATGAGGGCAACCCAAAAAAGGACTTTGCTTTTAATTACAAGAATATACCAATTTAGTTATGAGTTTAGACACCTTAATCCAACAAAAATGTAATCGTGTGCCTAGGTCATCATGAAACCTCTTCCATAATTTGGAAGTAAAACAAACATCTATATCAGAAACCACTAAGACTAGTTCACCACGCCGAGAAACCACCACTTTACCCTAAATATCTACGAGCTTCTCAGCTGATGATCTCTCCCAAATAGGCACAAAGTGAGAACTCTTGGTCAACCTGTTGACAATTACCCAAATAGTATTTACTCCACGAGGAGTCTTTAGCAACTTGGTTTATGAATCCATCGTGATATGCTTCCACTTCCACATCAGGATATCAATTGGCTTCAACTTGCCATGGAGCTTCTGATGCTTAACCTTAACTTCCCGACAAGTTAAACACCTCTCGACATACCATACCACATCCCTCTTCATACATGGCCACTAATAGTTATATCTTAGGTCTCTGCACATCTTTGTATCCCCTTGATGAATCAAAAAGTTGGACTTGTTCACTTCATCCATCAGTGTCTATTGGCCCCCACCTGAATACGAAACCCAAACCCTACCATGCAAGGTCAACAACCCATGACTGTCTATGTCAAAAGCTGAAATATGCCCCATAATTCTCTCGCTTTAACAGTTCAGTGCGGGCCTTCTTGATCATCTCTAGTACGAGGGTAAATATTGTTATCCTCAAACATAAATCTTTAATAGGTGCACTAATTGTCTTCCGACTCAATGCATCAGCCACCACGTTGGCCTTTCCTGGATTATAAAGGATTTTGCAATCATAGTCTTTCACCATATCCAACCATCTACGCTGCCTCATGTTCAAATTTGGCCGATCCATCAAATATCTCAAGCTTTTGTGGTCCGTGTAAATGGTACACCGAACCCTATACATCTTGAGAGCAATGACCACTGCTCCAAAATCTGGATCATGTGTCGTATAATTAGCCTCGCGAGGCTTCAATTGTCGTGAGGCATGATTACCCGATTTCGCTACATAAGAACGGATCCAAACCCTATGATTGATGCATCACAATAAACGACCATATCATCAACACCCTTGAGAAGGGTCAACATAGGAGCCTCGCATAATATCTTCCTCGGAGTCTTGAATGTTGTTTGTTGCTTAGGACCCCAACGAAAAGAACACCCATCTTTTTCAAACAGGTCAACGGTACCGCAATCTTGGAGAAATCCTGAATAAATCTCTTATAATATTCGACTAATCCAAGAAAATTCTGAATCTCAGAGGGAGTTGTCGGGACCTGCCATTGCATCACCTCCTCAATCTTGGTTGGGTCGACAAATATACCATCGTGATTAATGAGATGCCCTAGGATCTGGAGCTCTCGTAACAAGAATTCCCACTTGAAGACCATGGCGTAAAGCCTCTCCTACCTTAGAACCTCAAGTACAACCCTCATATGTTCCTCGTGCTGGTACCTGGTCTTCGAAAAAACCAAAATATCATCAATGAACACGATTACTGGCCGATTGAGCATAGATATGCACACACAATTCATTATATCCATGAATGCGGCGGGTGCATTAGTGATCCCAAAATGCATCATTACAAACTCATAGTGGTTGTACCGAGTTCTGGAGGCCGTTTTCGGTACATCTTCCTCTCTTACTTGCATCTGATGGTACCTTGAACGTAGATTAATCTTGGAAAACTAAGATGCACCCTGAAGCTGATCAAATAAGTTGTTGATTCCTTGTAGTGGATAACGGTTCTTTATTGTAAGCTTGTTAAGTTCTGTTTAGTTAATGCACATTTTATGCGATCTATCCTTCTTTCTGACGAACAAAATCGGTGCTCCCCAAGGTGAACTGCTTGTTCGAATAAACACCTTGTCTAACAATTCTCGAAATTGAGCGGACAACTCCTTCATCTTTGGTGGTGCAAGACAATATGATGCTTCGGCTATTAGAGTCGCACCCAGGATCAAATCGATCCTAACTCAACCTGCCTCTTTGCAGGTACACCTGAAAAATCCTCGAGAAAAACATCTGGAAACTCACAAGCAAGATACCCCGAACAACCATGTTGCAAATATCTCTTGGCCCTTGCAGCGGAACAGAAATTCGAACGACTTCTGGAACAGTCACCTCAAATGGTCAGTTCTCACCCACTTGGGGTTTGAACTCGTACTAAATTTTGCTTATAGTCAATCAGGGCCCCAAAATGGCTCAGCAAATCCATACCTACCACTACTTCATTTCACACATAGGAATAGGAATGAGTTCTATCAGGAACTTCCCGCTATAAACCTTTAGGGTATAATCATTGCAAACTCTAGATGCTCTAACCTTCCGATCGTCAGTTATCTCGGCCTCAAGAGGGTGGTCGAAATCTCCTATGAAGACATTAAAACTCTTGCTAAATGTAAGTGATATGAAGGAAGGGATAGCCCCCAAATCAAACAGTATTAATGCATGCAAAGAGTTTACTAATAATGTACATAATCCCACATAAAAAAAGAATAAGTACTAAAGAGAGAAAACAACATCATAAAATCAAGGAATACATACCAGTCACGACATCCGACATTGCTCTGGCCTCCTCGACTGTGAGCTGAAAAGCTCGCCCTTTAGCCTTCGGAGCTTCAGCTCTGCCCTGGGGTCCATCGGTGATCCTCAAAGTCGTAGGTGTTGGAGCTTGCATTGCACCCGCTGATCTTAAAAGGGGACATTTAGCCTTGAAACAGCCCATCTGGTTGCAGTTGAAACAAACACGCATCCCCTGCTTACAGTCTCGACTAAAATGCCCCTCTTTTCCACACTTGAAACATATAGACTCACGACAAGCTCCTTCGTGCGATTTCCGACAATTATACACCTAGGACTCTTCTATCCTCCAAAACGCGAATCAGCAACCTTGAATTGCTTAGCCGCTGACTGCGACTGTACCGGAGTCAGTCTCTTTTCTCTCTTTTAGGTCTCGAGTTCCAACTCCCTCCTCTTAGCTTGTGACTGCAGCTCTAAGAGGGTCTGATACTTGGTGTTTGCCACAAAATCCTTGATCTCGGTTTTCAACATACTTAGATACAGAGACATTTGCAGCTGCTCAGTGGTTGCGTACTATAAGCAAAACAGTGCCCTCTCAGTAAACATATGGGTGATTTCTGTTACTAACTCCGTTGTCTGCTTGAGCGACAAATACTCCTGAGCTAGGCGCTCCCTCTCAACTTCCGGGACATGCTCCACCAATCCTTCGTTCCCACGCGAAGACGGTTCAATGCAAACTTGACCTTTTGATTATTCGGGCAAGAGCACATGTAGAAACATCCCTCAACATCTACGACCCATCTCATACTAGCATTCTGGTCTTTTACACCCTCAAACTCCGAGGGTTTTGTATTATGGAATTCACGGTAGTTCATCACCTTAGCTCCTAGTTGTCCAGAGGCAGCAGTAACAGCAAAAACGACTGCAGCGGCGACGACAGTATCAATGACAACAACATACCGCTCATCAAACATTGCGATTAGTTATTTGGACTAATTTTAATTTATACATTTCATTTCAGTTATTTGGACAACAAAGAATCTTTCATATCATTCACAATAATTAATGTCTCTTCAAAAGAGTGAATCCTTCATATCAGTAATCAATGTTTTTCCAAAAGAGCCCTTATGGAAAGAGTGGAGACTCCAACATATATAGTCAATCATATGACCGTGTCGCACCAGGATAGGATACACTAACATTAAAATCTGTCCGAGCCTTATTTAGATTCGATTTAGAATCCCTGAATCTAACCGTCAAAACTATTTCACTTAATCAAGAAGAATAAAAACATTTGCCTTGAACGTGCCTATTAATCGGTTGCAAACGGAGAGAGAAGCCAAGGGTCTGTTTCTTATTTTCTTCTTACTTCTTAAATGGAAACGTCTAATCTTTGAATAATCTCTTTTGGCTTTTTCCTTTGGTCGGTTTAATGATATTATTGATTTTGGAGGAGTGAGTCAATTAACGAAGATTATCGATTATTATGAATCAACAAAAATACAAAGTTATTTTTGTTTTATATTCAAAAGTTAAGTGCTATTAACCCTAAATTGACGTCAACCATATTTTATTTTCGGTAAAGGTTTTTCAAAGTTTTAAGGTGTAACTAGAATAAAAAAAAACTAAGGAAACAAGGGTAAACGTTGGATTCATTAATAACTAAATAGCTTTAGTCATTTATCTAATTAACTTTTGTTATTTTCATATGCATATATAATGATCAAATTATGAATTTCTTTTTTCCTTTCTTCTTTTTACCCTTTTATACCGAATCCCCCAAATTTGCACTATAGTAAAACCAATGATAATAATGTAAATAAGCCATCGCCATTCATGGTAATGGTAAATAAACCTATAAAAACTAGTGAAATCAAAAAGATATTGGTGGGTGGTGGTGATTGTGTTTTCGCGCCGCTACCAAATATCATCCCGAAGTAGTCATCGTCATCATGGCCGCCATTCTCACCGTTATTCCTGCTTTCACCGCCGGTAGTGATGGGACCATCACCATATGACACAGTTCCAACGTCATCCCTATATGCCACAGAGTTATTAAAAATATAATAAAATGGTATTTTCGTTAAAGAACATATATAAAAAATATCATATACTATATTTGTATGTAACAAGAATATATGTATAAATGGCTAATATATAACTTATTTTGGCATAACTGTTATCTTGTTAGTATTTGAAATATACTATCATTATTCCGTAATAAAATTTGAAGTGTATTTACCTTTAAATGAAAATCCACAACAGACGGGTCATAAATAGCAGAAAATATGTGTTATCTTAAAAAACCGGTTAATATATGAATATATATTTCTACTACCCTTATTTTCTGGCACAAAATTGACTAATTTACTGTACTTAAATTAAGATATCTAAATCTAATCTAATCTAAATAAAATAATAATGTTAAACATGTGTGTTAAATTCGATCAATATTTATTTATAATGTTTAATCGCTTGTGTCCAATGTGAAACACAATATGATGTTCTTTTTTTATTCTGACCTTTAAGATGATGCCATTGGGGACCCGTAAAGCAAAGGGTATACATCCCTTTTCGAAGGAAAAAAGACACTAGATACTAGATACCCTTTTGTTTAACTTCCAACACATTCTTTTAATGTTACCTTCCGAAGATGGAAACAGGGACATTTTGGACATTATAATAGTGGGTTGTTTGATTATTTTTAGAATATGACACAATAATATGAATAAAAAAGGCCATAACAACTTAATGATATTAATAAAATTTTGTTTTATATAACAATAATCATATAATCAAATAGAATAATCGAATAGGCCAAAAGTGGGTGAAAATAATCAAAATAGAATTATTCTCCTAACCACTAGGCAAAGGCAATTGATACTTGGTGGTGGTAGGGGACGTTTTGAATTGAAATTACCATAAGGACCATGTGAACTGAAAATAAAGTTCCTGTGGTTTTTAAAGGCAATTAATAGAGTTCCTGTGGTTTTTAAAGGCAATTAATATTGTGTGGTGGTAAGGGATGTTTTGAATTGAAATTACCATAGATGACCTTATCATGTGAACTGAAAATAGAGTTCCTACGGTTTTTAAAATATCAAAAACGAAAGTTGCACAAATGGTCATATGGTTTGTCCATAGTGCTAGACTAGGTACAACTTTGAAATAGTTAATATGGTTGTATTTATAGTTTAAAAACCTTGCATAATTGGTCTTTTTGTCTAACTGGAAATCAATATTTGAGTCTAGAAAAATGACCAAAATACCCTTTAAGTTAAAGTAAATTTGTAAAAAAAAAAATTCATAAGCCATAAAAGACATGTACCTCATACCACCGAAGACACCGGCATTCATAGTGAGTTGGTCTACAAGGAAGGCGGACTTAGGGTCGGTACTAGTCGCTTTAGCATACATAGTGCTGAAGGCATCGCCTGAGGGCACAAAAAACGCACCATTTTCCATCAAGTCACCATCTGTCCTCCAGTTCCACCCCACCCACTTCTTTTCGCTTGCTTCCACTCGTTTTGTAACCTATGATATCCATTTTGTATAAAAACAAACATATGTTAGTTTACATCAACAACATCCATACATTTTATAATAATTGATTTACTATTTAACTTTCAAAACCCTAAATATTGAAGCTAAACCATAACATGACTATCTAAGATGAGAACGATGACAAGTTTCGCTTTCTACCGTCTCAATACAACATTATTCTTTTAAATGACATTTTTGGGTAGCATATTTACTTATTGGATAGTATATTTGTAGAAATTGATGATCATATGAGTCTTAGTAGCTGTAATATGCGAGTTTCAGTTTCGATGTGGATTGAACTTTTAAAGCGTGATTCTTTCATAGTCATGATATAAAGGATTTCAATTTCAGATAATATTTTTTTGACAAACTTAATGTTTTAGTGACTTGTTAATTACCCCACGACCAAGCTTCCCCAAAATAGAAGTACACCACAAGTCAAATGTGGGATTTGGTTGATCTTTAAATACATAACTTCTTTTGCCTTGCTTGTTAACATAAATTTGAACCCTTGATTCTTTTCTTTTGCTTGCGACACCAAGTCTACACTTGCCAAAAATGGAAACTATGACACGTTTTAGGGCTAATGTTTCTAGAAATAGGAAAACAACATTCTGACATGGACCTTAAGAACACGAATTTAATGTAAGTCTACGTGAGATAGTTGATAAGTGTCTCCAAAAAGGCAAAAAACATTATCTAACTTTTTCTTCTACCAAGTTTTTTTTTAAACGGCAAACTAACTAATCTACTCCTAAATAACCATATATGTCTCCACCGAGACTTGAACCCCTGACCTCTCGTATGAGATGGTCAATCCATACCGGCCCTTTGGTGTTTTCTTCTACCAAGTAAAAAAATCTATTAATAATTGTAACATTTTATTAACTTAAAAAGAAAAACAGCACAAAACAAGTATATAATTTTTGACACATGATGATTGGTGAAAACTGAGTTGCACAATTACCTCTTTTGCGTTAGGATCCGGTGGCGCAATATAGCGGTTACCCTGACTATTGATCGTAGGATTCGCACTTCCACCAATGGCGTACATCTTCCATTCGGTGAAATCATTGTTTACCACATGAAAATATCCATGTCTACATCTTGGCATTCTTTGTATCAACCCTTTCCCAAAATGATTAAACGCAAATGTAACCTATAAATAGAAAAAACACACACACACAAACACCAAGAACACACACTACATTAGTCAAGATTAATGATCATTGAATCTACATGAAGGTAAACATGAAAAGTATTTAAATTATTTCACCTGCATCCCTTTATCCGGCAAGTATGCATCGTCGTGACCCATGAGCATAACTTCGTTATGATGAGTGAAATAACTGTTTGAAATAGTAATGGCGGTGGACCCAAGAATTGCATCAATCAAACCGTCTGTACAATGAGAAAGAGAACAGTGATCGATCCATATGTTTCTTGAACCGGAAATTGAAATCCCGTCGCCGTCGGATAATCCTCTCCGGCCGACATGCGTTGGACTTGACCTTATGTCGGCGTTCCCGGAGGGTTTACAGTCGAAGACGCGTATATTGTGGATGATGACGTTGGTGACGTACTGGAGGGTGATACAACCGCCGCCGGTGATTGCGACGTTGACGCCGCGGCCATCGATGGTTTTGTAGCTGTTGAAGATGAGTTCGTGTTTGAGTTTGATGAGCATGCTGGATGCAAAGATGATCCATAGGGGTTCGGATAGTAAGACGCCGTATCGGAGGGTTCCCGGAGTTGGGTTGATGACGTCGTTGTCGGAGGAGTCGGTGACGATGTAATACTGGCCGCCTTTTCCGCCTAATGCAAACCGGCCGAACCCAATGCCGCAGTCGGCTAGGCGTTGCCGGTCATTTCCCCAGTTCGGATCGCACTTCCAGCAATCGTCGATTGGGTTTCCGGTGAGACAGCCGCCGCCGATGTCCAGCATTTCTCTTCTATATATCGATACATTTACTCTCCTATGTCGAGGAAAACAAAAAAAGAATCAAACTTTAGATCAGAAAGAGATAGAAAATTTTCGTTAAAATTTAATCATACTTAAAGTAAGATTAACAGGGACGAAGGTGTGCATTTCTCAAGACTTCCATTGACGTTTCTTGAAAAGGAAAGACACCCAGAAGATTAAACGTCGTAACGAACAAAATCCATGTGGGAATTTGTGCAAATCAAGCTCCAATTCAACAACTCATAAAGTAAAGATAAAAAAGATTGCTTTTTTAAGTGCAAATGAAAATATTGAAAATATTTCCACTTTCCCTCGACTGCCATTAACGTTTCTTGAAAACGAAAGATACCCACAACACTAAATGATGTAATGAGCAAATCCCAGATGGGAATTCCACTGAATTTTCTGTCCGAAGCTCAAACTGAAGAAATAAAGTCTTGTTTTTTACTAAAATTGGAGAAAATGAAATCCGGTTGGGATTTGCAGGTTTTTATTTATTTATTTACCTCTGTACTTCTTGAACAACAGCTTCAGGATTAGGGTGTTGATAAGGAAGTGTGAGGTTAAGAGTGGCCCCGATGATAGATAAGAGAGAAGTTAAAAGGCAAAACAATAGAATGTTGGTGTTGGGAAGATGCATTTTGTGAAATTAATGGGATGGAAGAGGGGTTTAAACTCTTAATGTTTGAAACATAAGAGTAGGCTTCAACCACAATCTTCCTCTGTTTTAGAGGGAAAGAAGGTGCAAATCATGAAAAAATAAGATTCTTTCATTCATATGATAAAATAATAATGATGATGTGATTGAAATTTTGTATTTGAATAATTGCAATTTGGTGGTTAAGTGAAATGGGTTAGGGGGCGGAAATTGGTTATTGAATAATTGAAGGAGAAGTAAAGAGAGGGGCGTTTCGCAAGTTTTTGTTTTCCTCAATAACTTTACATTCCAATCTTGTTTATAAATCATTCTATTTACAAATAAACAAGAAACCCAACTAGATAATTCCATTTATCCACTTACAAAAATAAGAGATAAAACGAAAAGAAATTTGAGAGGAAAATAAAAGGGGCAATAAAGTTGCCTTTTGGATGATCAAGGGAATTTTTGGAATTTGGGATGGGATGAGGGGGTTGAAGTCTTGTAGATGCCAGAGAGTTGATGTTCAAGTTATTTGTATTATTAGGGTTTTTTCCTTTTCTATTTTGAATATATATGCATTATGTGTTTAAATATCTTCATGGTGGCTGATATGTAGGGTTGCTTGTTAGTTAGCTCGATTTGATAATTGTTTGAAGTTTGAACAATATAGAAACTATATAATTTATAGATACGTTTGATAAAAATAATTTATAATCGATAACAGGAAGTTATAGTTTTTATTTGGAGTCGGAAGTTATAAGCTTTTTTATAAAAATGCTAAACAAAAGTAATATAGAATTTTAAAATGTATAAAATTATATAAAAGGATATATGAATAATAGATACATGGTTTATTAAAGTCAAGCTACTAATTTTATTATCATACATGCTATTGAAATAGCTTTTACTTTTTTGCCGCATATTAAAAGGCTTTAAACTTGCATTTCTAAACAATTTTTATTTTTATTTTTTATTTTTTTGTTTTAGTTATATGTGTCTTGTTAAAAAGCTAAAAGCTCAACCATTTTTAATTTGGTCCAGAGGTCTGTAAATTACTAAATTTCAACTAAAAATCTTAGTTAACTTCATTGTAGAATTAGTAATAATAACTAATTGAAAATGTTATTTTAAATGTTAAAATTTTAAGTTTAACAGATTGGAAAACAAATTGATGAATGTGAAATTAATCATCAAAGTTAAGGAGTTGAATAATATATGATCGAAAATTAATGTTTAATTTTCGGTTACATTTCGTAATTAAGAACGATATTAAATATAATGTCTGTTGTGATTTTCTATTCAATTATTGGTTACGAATTGTGTTGTAACATTCATATCCTTGAGGTACATAATTCCTTGAATTTATAGCTTGTGGAGGTGGTTACGACGTGAGATATGATGGTCTCGTTGTGAGTATTAGTTGACAAAGTTGACCGCATTTTTGAGGTCTCACAACGTGAGGCATAAATCTCACGACGTGAGGACGACCAGATGACTCAAAACCCTAATATTTCGGGTATTTAAAGGAATGAGAGGCTAGGGTTGCACATCCTCATCGTCTTTCACCCTCTAAGCCCTCTGGGAACCCTTAATTCGACCCTCTTTGAGATCGTTAGTGTTTTGCTTGTTTGAAGGAGAAAAAAGAAAGAGAAGAAGCACCATTGTGAAGGGAGTTGCAAGGAAGCATCATTGTCATAAGCTCTTATCTTGTTTAGACCTTTGTAAGTATCAAGACTCAAGCTTTATTTCATTTCATGGCTAGATCTAGGTTTTTGGTCCCATTTCCTTATGTTATAGCTTGTGAGAGTCAAGAAGATCCATAAAGTTAGCAACTTTATGGATTCAAGTGGTCTTTTGAGTCTTATATCATTTAGATCTGGAAGTTAGTAGAGTATTGAAGCTTGCATGAGAACTTGAGGCAAACTTTCTACTTTTTGACCTAAAATGGTGTAGGGACATGCATGGTGCATGCATGTCCATAAAGCAAGCATTTTTATGGACCATTAGGGTCCCCTTAAGCTTCTGTAAGAGTTAAAATTGAAGGCTGAACGGATTAAGAACGTTGAATCGTTGGTTTGGGATTCAGACCGTTCTCACGACATGAGACATGAGGTCTCACGACGTGACCAAACAAAACCTGTCCCTTGTTGAGTTGTCTGAGTCAGGAGCGAGTCTTTGGAACCGGAACGAGTGACTCTCATGACGTGACCACAGATTTGGTCACGACGTGAGACACGATGTTGGGTTTTGGTCCTTGTTGGGCCACTAGTTTCTGACTTTGGAACCATATGGGACTTTTGAGTATGGATTGATTTTGAATTGGACCAGGGTTTGACCAAGTTTGACCCAAGGGTATTTTAGGTAATTTAAGTGGTATTTGTAACATCCGGATTCCCATGTATTTTATTTTAAGTATTTATATTGAATTTTAGAGAGGGACTCGGCGAGTAGGCGCTCAGACTCGCCGAGTGGGATCGCGCATTTCTGGTCTGATTTAATGAAGGACTCGACGAGTCGATGCGTGGACTCGGCGAGTCCGCGCTGTTAAGTGAAACCCTAATTCTCGGGGCTTGTGCCCTATTTAAAGGCCTTTATAGCCTCCATTGCGGCCACTTCACCCCTGAGAAACCCTAGAGAGAGAAAGAGAACGTTTGTGGTGCAAGAGGAAGGCTAATTCACCATTTCTTGTGTGTTTTAGCAAAAGAGAAGTAGTTTCCAACAAGAGGAGGTCAAGGGAGCTGTGGATCCAGGGTTTTCAAGTTCAAATCTACACTATTGAGGTATCAAATCGAACTTCCCTTCTGTTTTGGGTTAAGATCTATGATTTAGGGTTTTCTATAAACCTTTTTAGGCTTGAAAGGTTGAGGTTATGGTCCCTTGCTGGGTTAGACCTCAGATCTGGACCCATAGAGGTCCAGAGAACCTTTCCCATTCTGCTTTATGCTTGTTCATGGAGGATTGGAGACTAGGTTGCCATTTTTAGAGTTATTTCTCCATTTATGACTTGATGTGGGTTGCATGCACGTAAAGGTTGCACCTTTACGTGACCTTTGAGCACTTGAAGGCCAGATCTATAGTTTAGAGAAGCAGATCTGACCTCAGAAAGTCATTTGAGAGTTGTTATGGGAGCAACTCGCTGAGTCCATAAGTGGACTCGACGAGTCGAGTCGGGGTTGCCCCGCGATTCGTGACAGGTGTAACCCGTCGAGTGGAAGGATGACTCGACGAGCCAAGAGAGGCTGAAAGGATTCAGAGGATCCGCATGGACTCGCCGAGTCGCCCTTGTGCACTCGACGAGTCTGGTCAAAGTTTGACCGTTGACTTTCGTTGACCTTAGGGTTCTCGTCAAGACTGATTCAAGAGAGTTCAGGGAAGGGTAGAATGGCCTTCTACCCAATCTGTAGAGATGAGATCACGAGAGAATATTGATCGGGGATGTTATTTAAATAATAGGAGGAGGCTAAGTCGGGACGTTGAGCACGAAAGTTTATCCGACTTCATTGAGGTGAGTCTTCTCATTATACTGTACCTGGAAGGGTACCTATGTGTGACTGGAAGGTCTTATATGTTATGAGATGTATGAGCTGTATGTTGTTATGTGATATGTATGTGTTATGTATGTTATGTACGATAAGGACCGGAAGGTCAAGATGATATGGACCGGAAGGTCAAGATGATAAGGACCGGAAGGTCGATACGGGTAGGACCGGAAGGTCTACCGGGATTCAGGACGGAAGTCCCCTGAGACACATGGATCGGAAGATCCTACAGAGTTATGGCCTGGAAAGGCGTATGTGTTGTATATGGTATCTTGGGGAACTCACTAAGCATTTATGCTTACAGTTGTTATATTATGTGTTTCAGGTACTAGTGATGATCGCGGGAAGGCGCCGACATGATCCGTACACACTTATAAAGGTTATGTTATTGAGATTCCGGGACATGTTTTATTATGACACAGTGGATACATTATGTTTTGTGATTATCGTGTGATTGAAAGTATGATTTAAAAATGAAAAATTGTTTTGGAAATTTACGTCGTTACAATATTTGAGATTAGTCAATATTTGGCGTTCAAGTGATCAGACGAGCTGTCATTTGGAGTTGTGTCCTACCAGAGATCTATTCAGACTGAGAGGTGAGTTTTCCTCATTGTACTTATGGGTCGAAGGCACCAATGCCAGCCCACTAGATTATCTATCTTGGTATAGAGGATGTTGATATGTTATAGTGATCTGTAAGATCGGTATCCTGGTAAATAGGATGTAGTATGCAGTAGTGATCTGTAGATGTGCATGTTTGTTTGATAACTAGTTATATATTTATGTGTTGCTGGATATATGTTATATGTTATGTGTATGTCGACATGGTTTGGTTGGGTTGAGGTTGTACTGCTTTGTGTGGTAGCCAACAAACCTGCGAGCAAGCCAGACATAAGTTATGGGCCTGTAGGGCAAGCCAGACTTATGTTGTGGGCTCGGGAGCAAGCTATATTTGAGTTATGGGCCTGAAGGGCAAGCAAGAATTATACTGTGGGCTCAGGGGTAATCTAGTTTGTTCGTTGTGGACCTAGTATATGCTGTTATATGTTGTGTGTAGGTACTTTGGGGAAACTTACTAAGCTTTGGCTTACAGTTTTAGTTTATTGTTTCAGGTACTTCAAAATGACCGTGGCAAGACGAATGTATGATCGTACACATCCTTTGGTTTTTATGTTTTTTGGATCTTGGGATACTATGATTACGAAAATACACTTTTGAAATGATTTTGTAAATATTTATGGCTATGGGTTGTTTTTAAAAAATTAAAATTTATTGTAATTTTGGGATGTTACATGTGTTTTAATGTCAATTTAATTGTCGGTTATGATTGTGTTGTATAAATACATCTTTACCACCATTTGGAGAGGCCAAAAATACAAAAATCGACTCCTCTTTTCTTCTACTATGCTACATTTTTCTTACAGCTTAAAATGTATTAGGCATGGATGGTCCCAGAGAACCACTTAAAGTTGTTGTATCTTGGAAAAAAACACTTGATAATGGGTGAATTTGTTGTAAGGACACTGTGTTAAACACATGTCTCAACATTTTCTGTTTTCTTGTTTGATTCCGTACATTACCGTAATATATTTTCTACACTATTAAAACAAATTCTCTTGTACTGAACGAATTAGAAATTAGAAACAATTTTACTTGATTTTTTATTCTTCAGTTTTCATAGGAAAAACAAAAAGAAAAAAATATTTCTGAGTGTTAATCGCTAGGTTTTGGTAAAACCATTTTAGTTTATAGTAAAACACATTTGTTTGTTAAAAATAGTGTCAAAACATATATGTTGTCTTAGA